ACGCACAATTGCTCTGGTCATTATTCCCAAAGTAATTAAACAGTATATCAATCATTAGATTAACCATTGTATCAGATATTATATTATGCGCTACCACAATCATTATATTGTATCAGTTTTGTTATAATTAGACTGCGGATTTGTATGCAAAATAAGACTTGTAGAAATGATATTTAGTCAGACTGTTCTTTAATCCTCTAAATATCATGCTATGCAGTATGCTGTTGATACTCTATGCACTTTTGTCGGCTACATGTATTTTTTACACTGTTTACATGCTCAATTTTGTTACATAATGTAAAATTTACAGTCTAATTATAACTATTTTACAGTCTAATTATAATATTTTTATATACACTGCAAATGATTTGTAATGCATCAACTGTATGACCGTCACTGGTCAAGGTTTCGAGCAAGACATCGAATTACATCCCGGGAATCGAACGTAGTGTAAGTTTTCGCAGCCGACGCACGTGCGTCGCGACGCGAAACGTCCGCGTCTTGTGCATAAATACTCTCCAGGCTCGTCATGGTCGACGAAGAACGCGTCGTTTGTTTCTCCTCTCTTTTTTTTTGCACACGTTCAAAACGTTCGCGCTGCCATCCGCAATGGTCGCCTCGCGTAATTACCGTTGATATGCGTATCGCGTTACTCGCCTTTGCGTCGCGTTTTTCACTTTTCGTTTGTCGAGGATGCTGTCTCGAATACGGTGGAACGATGGTCTCCGAATAAAAGTATTTTATCGTAGGGATAAAGCGAAAAAACGATTTGGTTTAAATCTTTATAGCGATTAGACATTTTATAAGCAACCGCTGCTCCCATAAAAATGCCTGTGTGGATGGTTTAATCTTAGTTATCTGAGTTAAATTTTGTAATCTGTAAAAATTTAGTAATCTGAGTTAAAAATTGGCAGAGGAAAGCTGAATAGTATCGACAGATTACTTTTATTTTGTATCGAAATCCGGATATCAGTTTGAAACACAGTGTCTATCCAAATAAACCGAGGAAAAACGAGAATTGGTCACATCCTCTCTTCCTAACGTGGAAAACTTGGTTTTCGACTGATATTTCATTTTAAAATACTTTACATTTATGAACAAATAGAGTGCTCCACGTTTTTGTTGGCAAACAATATTTCACGAAAACAGCAAGAAAATAAAATGCATCCGCTAAGCGAGAGGAAAAACCGATATACAACACAGGAAAGCACTTCCCAACAATCTGTCGTGCGCGATCGATCGTTTATATTAGTTCCATCGAGTGTCGGTTAATTTTCACGAATTTTCCAAGCCAGCCGACGTGTTCCCATTTTTTACTCTGTTCAAAAAAGAGACGAGCTCGTCGGACGAAAAATTTCAAAGCAGATTACAGCGTCACGAGCTGGCCAACATTAATCCGACGGCATTAGCAGTGCCAATTCCGTGAAAATAAACAGCGGAGAGGAGAGAAGGAAAAATATGGGCGAAAGCACGGGAAGAAGAAAAATACGTGACGCCACGGTCACGTACCGACGGCTTTTCCCAGGAAGCAGTCGTTTTTCGAGTCTCTGGTCCATTCCTTTTTAGTATTATTCCCGTAGGAATCGATGACGCTCCAACAGGCTCGAGTGGACGAGCAAACGTCATCTACGAGCCACTCGCGTCGATATATTAGTCCTCTCACGCTAATTTCTTTTTACTCGTCCCTCCTCTGTTTCCATCCCCTACCCGGTAGCTTTTTCTACGCGACGTGTATTTTGAAATATAGGGCATGGTGGGCTATTTCCAGAGCACGGTGTATCGGTACTTTATTTCCACTAGGGGTCGATCGTTATTACAGTTTCGCAGTCTTTAAACCTATTTACCAATGCTGATTTCTTACTTTCTGACTCTGCAAGCTTTATGATTATATACTTGAAGTGTTCTAGGGGAAAGAAATAGCTAAATCGATTTGCATGAGCACACTGAACGTTTCAGTTGATACAAGATTCAAATGTTTTTTAAATGTTATAGCATCTGCAGTTATAAGAATTAACATACACGTCGCTGTACAGAAATAATATTGCAAATCGCGATTTGTCGAGCAGTTCCATCAAGCTTACCGTTATTACTCGCAATTTAACTTCTGCCCGGAGCGAAGCAAGGAAAAAAGATGTATAAAAAAGTGAAACTAAAGAAAGAGGCATGCATAATGCAAGTTGGCACCGCGGAAAACGAAGAGTAAAATGGAGTTTCCCGCAACTTTTACATTATTCGCTATCTTAATTGTCGTCTCGTAATTGTCCTGGATTTTCAAACTTCTTCATCCACTACTCTTGAGAAATTCTATTCTCAACTGTGTAAAATTCATTTGGAATTTATCTACGGATGATACAGTCTATTTCGTCTATCCTTGCGACGTGTCACCTTGTCATCGATATCGTTACACGCGCTTTAATCGGCATATTTTTTCTTTGGCTAACCGCATCTTCGATCACGGTATCATACAGCTGGCCTTTGTTTTCCGATCCTCTTGCGTTTCTTTTAATCTTGGGTTTCACCAGATGTGATAGTTACTAGTAAAAAAAACAACACTGTATGACTCCTTTTATTTCCTGGATGTTTGTTATGAAAGAGGTACCGTTTATTTATTCAAATTAGTTTATGTTTCATAAGGTACTTTATGAATTATGTAATTCTTGTTTTTCCCGCTTCTGTTGCGGTTCCTTTCATCTTGGATTTCAATGGCGAAATAAAAGCGTCCACGTATTTATTTTTATTTTATTGATCTTTTTACGAAACAAGAACTCCTTTTATTTATTAAAGTTTACGTTTCGGTAAATACTTTATAATTATACTATTCTTATGTTTGACTCTTTTGCTGAATTTCGTAGAACTGTATCACAGTTTTGAAGTTTTGTCGTTCGGAGACAATCGAACGTTCCTTGGCACCGCTGATAGGTGATTGCGCGTTCGAAGTTCGTGTCAGACGATGCGGTCTTGTTGCTCGGTGAAAGTTTGCTGATAAGCGGCGGAGGTTGAAGTTCGATTGTTGCGCGTCTGCGTGCGATCGGGAGCATATTTCTCTCGAATTGAACGGCTTTTGTCGTCCCTATCTATACTCCGTCCGATTCACAGAACGCCTGAGAATTATCTCCTAATTTATCTTTGAAATTAGTTTCTTTAGAATGTCCCACAGAACTCAATGCGTTGCGGACAGTTCATATATATTTTTTGTAACAACGTGCAGACTTGTCAGCACAAGTGATTATAAGAAATAGTTGATATTCTTGTTTCAGATTATTGAATCAACGCAGTCTTACAATTTTCTTTCATTTTACATGAATTACCGTAGACCTGTTTTCTATTACGTTTATTATCTTTGGACACTTGGGTCCGTTTTTTAATGGCCCACCAGAAACTGGCTCGTCAATTTTCGTATGAGTCCAAGTTATTTCTGGTCACGATTCTAAGTTAAAATTGAGGGTCATGCCCCGCGGAAGCACGCGAGTAGGCCGTGCGTCGCGTGCCAACGCAAACTCCAACTTATTGTTAGTATTACGTGAAACTAAATCGCACGTGACGTTTTCCCTTGGAAAATCGAATTTTTAAAAGGCAAACACAAAATTATCCGCAGGAGTACGATTCCATTTCCCTAAAGAGTCATTGGGGACCAAAGTTGAATCGGTATTGTGCGCGTTGGTTAAAATTACTACGTCTCGATTCAGTTACCGGCTATCAAACGATTTTCGAAATAAATTGTTTAGATTCCAGGCGCGCATAATCGAGTGTACGTGATTTTCGGCGTAAACATTTTAATGATTGAGAAATCCAAGAATATAGAGAATAGTTATAGTTTGAAATCTGTTGAATNCTACATAATTGTATGGCCAGAGATAGTAAATAGGAAGTAAGAGCTCTGGGTTTCAGCAATGATTAAACGTCCGTGTTGTAGGAGATACGAACACAAATTGTACTAGTCTGCTAGAAGAAATATCTCCGGCATTCTAGAGGGCAGAAACCCTGCACGCAAATTAATTAGGCGGGTCGCGTTCAGATATATTAAGAAATATTTCACGTCCCGGGTACGGGGGATGCGAGGAAGCATCGCTTTAAGCTCGAACCGGCGGGCGCGTGGTTAATCCGCGAGCGAGCGATGAATACGTGTCAAGGTCTCTTTTTCTCTGTCCGCCCATTGTTTTTCACGTCACTTGGAAATTATCACTTACGAATGTACTTAACGTGGGAGGATCCGGATGGATCCTTCTCGAGTTTTTCAAAGACCGCCGTTGTTCTCCTAATTCGATTTACTCTGAAGCCGAAGGAGAAATATTTCCGTTTGCTGGAAAATCAGTTTTCACTTGACTGCCTCGCCGAACGGTAGAGGAAGGACCTACCTAAGTTGGAAAATTTGTGATCAATTAAGGAAGTAAGGTAGGCTGGCTGGGTCTGGTCGAAGTAGGAATACGAGTTGGCACTGTGCAAATGTTTGACGGACTCGCTTTTCAAATAGAACACCGACGAGTTTCATTATTCGAGCGCAGAAGTCTATCTCTCGGTTTTCATACGTACGCATCTAAAAATTAGCAGAGGATCTTTTGTAATAATAACGTGAGAAGCAAGATTGTAAAATACATAGTTTACAGGATGGTGAGACGATTTGTTTTCAATAAAATTCGTGCAGCGTTCCAGCACGGATTTTGGAACAATTTCTGTCGGTCCATTTCGCAAGCGGGACTCGTTGCGAATTCGCGTCATGGAGGGACACGTCCGGTGGTTCGTGTCGGCATACTGATATGGGAATTAACTTCTAACGCTTGCACGCGGCCGGCCAGTCCGGATTAAGATTGATGATTAAATAGCGCAACGCGCCGGCTATTGTCTCCGTCGCGAGTCAGAGACGACACGGTCCTCCATTATTCACGATCAACGCCCGCTTCGAAGACACGGCCGGCCAGTTCCCTCTTTGCATTGTCGTCATACTTGCTGACATTTGACATGTAACCGGCCGGTTAATTTCGGACGGGTCAATGCGTGGCTATTCGCGGAGGAAATCGAATAGAAAGAGGCAGCTCGATCGGTCGGACACTCGTTTTATTTATGTATAGTGCCAATTGGGGCGTCCCGTACACTTTTAATATCTCGTTCTATTTGTACATCTAATCTTCTCGCTTATTACGCAATAGATTTTGTTTCCTTTTGTAAATCACGGAAGGTTTTGGGAGTCAGTGAAAATTGACTGAGAAACAATTTTTAATTGTAAGGAAGGATAAAAATATTTCATATAGGAGCTCAGGACATATTTAAAATCCTCAGCTTTATCATGTGCAAGTATTTAGATAGTTTTCCTAAAGAATGTTGCAGTTACACATATCATCGTCTATATCTTTAATTATTTGAACAATTTTGTTACGATTTATCAAATATTTTTAATGTCTCATTCGTTTTGATGTCAAAAGACGTAATAAAAATGAAAAAAACATGAACGTCGGATTTTGAATCATTCGACCTGTCGGTGTAATGGGTCTAATTTCGGTGAGCATGATTGAGTTAACAAAACTCGCAAGCGGACTGGTCGCGGTCCATTTGCAACGGCCCGGAGCCTCTTCATTCATCCGGCAGACGTTTTACCTTCGTGCCCATTGCGGAAACGAATAAATCCCATGTACCCCGCGGGACCCACGCTCCCTCTACCCGGATAGGTATATTTATCACGGGAAACGCGATGCTCGCGTTGCCTTTGATACGTGCCAGCGACGATTCTTCATTTTCCGTATTAAAATCCGAGTCAGGCAAGAATAACTTAACATAGTAAAATTCCTATTACCTTTCTGCAAGAACATTGAAATTCTTGAACATTTCTAAAACTCCATAATTCTCAATCGTTCAATAGTAACAAATAATTAAACAATAACTTGTTGATGAGATTTTGAGTTTGCATCTAAAATAAAATTACTTTCTACGTCGCAGTAGAGTTGTATATAAATGAAAATATGTCTGGTATTTCACAATTGACTCATTCAATTGTTTATCACATAAGGAGTTTTGATACAATCATGATTTTAAGAACTCATTCTTCAATCTGTCTAATGATTCGAAGAACACAGAATGTACCCAGTAGACAAAGAACTATGCAGCCATGAACGTGTGAATGAAAGTGGCGTAGCTTCGTAGTTTTCGTTTATCTGTAATTCACTGTTCGAGAACATGTTGGTTGCAGGGTCGAGGAGAATAGGTTGCTGGCCCGTGCGTATTCGAGTCTAAGAATATTCGATTATCGCCCAAGCGCTACTGTGTATCGATCCTTCTACCTACACTCGCGATTCGTGATTTATTATATATTCACGCGGAAGTTCTCCTACTTAACAACCCACTGTCGAGAGGATAACCAGAGAAACGAGTCGGTGAACTCTCCGTTGAATGTTTCATTCTGTAAACAAGAATGAGGAAAATGGACAATCGAGAAATGTGTTTGTGCTGTTAGAGTCGGTTATACCTGAGGCGATATTGTTGTCATAGTGGTCATTGCACGTAGGCATCCGTCATCCACCTTTGAGAAGTTAGCTTCTGCCAACAGTCGAAATTATTTTGTATATCTCTCCTTCCTGTTGCTCTGACTCATAAGAACTTCAAACATGTCTGCAATAGTGTTTAGATTGTTACATGATTGAGAATAGTCAATTTCAAAATATGAATATTCTGAAGTATCGATCGTCTCATATGTGACAATGTAATACATTTCTTCTGATATTTACGTACATTTAGTTTTATTTCTCAAGATCTAATAATTGAGACCTGGTCTATTAATTCTAGAAATCTTGATCCTTTTTCATTGTATCATTATTTTTTGTTGGAAGTCTCTAGACTGTAGGGATACGGGCTCTCTCTTCTGATAAGTTTGGAAAATTCGGTGCGGGTACCAGTATGTAATAGATGTGAGATGAAAAAGCGCGGATTAAATTTCGAGCTATGAAAAATCGAGGTTAACGAAATTTTATCAGCACTGCCAACATTATTCCAACTAAAGATTAAACAGAAATTTTCCAAAAATAGCCTTCAATGTTAAATTACATATGTTACATATGTTTACAACATAAATGTGCGATTTCGCATTTGAACAGAATTTAGTTTACCGTTGAAATAGTTGGGGTTAGAGAAAGTAAGGGTGAACGGTGTTTTTTTATTCTCTGTCCGTTAATTGGGAGAGAATTGCCAGGACCAGGTTGAAATATTTCCACGAGTGGCTCGTTAGGGAAGCGGCGCGGCGTCGGGAATTTGGAGAACGCCCGATTCCCAGTCTAGCGTTCGTGCAATATATATAACTGTTCGTCATCAGTGTTCGAATGATTCACACCTTGCAACTGTTTTTAGACTGGGGATTCGCGAACATCTGCGAGCCGCGAGAAAATTGACCGTGAATCGGTGCTGAAGCACAGAAAATCATTGTAAAATGAATAATGTAGTATTGAGTGTAGTACAAGTGGGAGTAATGATGATTTTTAGTATATATTGATTCAATGTCATTACAGTATGAACCTTTCCTCAATATCTGCAATAGCGAATGAATGTAAACATCATATTTAAATCAGATAATGATTGAAACGAAGAATAAAGATATCGCAATTGATATTATGAAGAAAAACAAGAAAAATCAAGGAGACTGTTAAGATAATTAATATGAATATCAATTCAATCAGAGTGTATCGTCTACTTGTTTTACATACATGTATGAGCAATTTAACTGACGCAAATTGAGAAAATGTAGGACTTGGATAATTTGCCAAGGAGATATCGCGGAGTCTTGTAATTAAAGCAGCGGTTAAAACGCACGAGGATCGGTTTCTCCAGTAATTCTAAGAATTTACGGACGAGTCTCAGTACTCGGGCTTGTTCGAAAAATAATTTCACGGAACAGATTATAGTACATTGTATCAAATTTTTCCTAGTTATCGTGGATGGTAGCAGTTTTCCGGCGTTATCGTCCTTTCAATTACGGCGATTAATTAATTTTAATCACTTGACACGACGCTGGCGTGCGTCGACTGGCTGTGCGCGAAATAGAATTAATTCGCGTTTTATCGGTGGAAGTCGAGCGGTAATCGAAGCGATTCGCGAGCAATAATCCAATCGCTGAATTAATCGCCGATATTTGATCTTCGCGTGCCACCGGTCGATATTCTGCTTTTACCTTCGCGTCTATCGATGATCGGAATTTTTTTACTCAGTGAGAAATGTAAAATACGTGCAGCCAAACGTCGAAAATGTAATTACGTTATTTACAGACCGTGAATTTTTATACAAATCAATTAGAAAAATTCGATGTAGGCAGAAACGTTTTGTGATAAGCATTCTTCAATATTGTACATATTTCGTCACATTCCATTTCTCTGTAAATACATAAAACGTTCGGTTCTCTCGGTGTACGAAAATACTTCTTAGCAATTAATTAATCATGAAGTTATCAAAGTCGAATGTGGGAGCTCGAGTCGTTTGCATTTTGGCAAGGACAAAGGACCACGAAGCATAATGCTCACTCGTGCCTCAAGTTTGACTTCGCTCTTGGAGACTGACGGTAACTTCGTCGAAGTATATACATAGCTACCGTGAACTATAGCCGATGAACTGGATCTGTCTGCGGAAAAGTTGAGGCTGTTCGATCGCTGTTTTGTGCATCGGGTCGGCTCGAAATTCTCTCCGGGTATCTCGTCTGCTAGAGAAATTCGCTGGAACGTTCTCTCTCTCACCCCTTCGCCTTTTCTTCGATTCAGAGCATCCTCCCTGCCGAGGATTTATGAGGTTTCCGTGCCTCGGGTTAATACCAGGTGTCGAGCAATATTCCCGTTCAAGCAATTTTCTTTCCTCTCCTTTAACAATGATTGGTAGCAGAAAGAAAATCCAAAAGTATTCTATAATGGTGCACTAAAAATAATAGCTTATATTCATATGAAATGGAATCGTTGGAAGGAAGTAATAACGTAATACAGCATCTACTTACACATTCTCTCTGATCTACACCAACTGAGCACAGTCGGATTTTAAAAAAAAATATCATGAAATTTTCGGATCCACGTAAGCCAGAAAGGAAAAAAGTCGTGGTTGACTTTAATATACTCGGGTACAAGGAGTTCTTTGTTGGCCCGTCGAGCCGACTTAATCTCCGGCGCATATACGCGAAACGAAATAGGAGGGAAACGAAATAAAAAGGAACACGGTTCTATCGCGAGGGTGAATCATACGCGGCGTTCCCACGGGACGACGCGATGCGGCGTACGTACAGGGTAGATATAGTTGGAATCCCTCTCTATCCTGCGGGAGAAGAGAACTTCCAGACGGGAAAACCCCACGATGTGTCGTCGCGGTGGCGATGTCGGTGCAGATATCGATCGGTCCGGGCTAGTCGCAGCTTCTCTTTAAGTCATCCGGGGCCCAGGACCACCCACGCGTCCGCCCCTGACGCGTCTCCTCCCGTTTTCACCCACGCAGCAGCAGCAGCAGCAGCCTGCAGTTTCCAGCCACCGCACCGAGGCGAGAACACCGTCTCCACTGCCTGTACTCTCTTCCCAGCTGCTGGTACCAGCCCTCTTTTCTCGCTTCGCTTCGCGCCGTCTTTGCATTTTCGCTGTCGCTGGTTCTCCTCAAGGTTCCGTCGTATCGACGAGAGACTTGTGAACCCTCTTTCTATTCAGAGCCCTCGATCTTCTCCGAGATGATTCTCACTTGCCTGAATGCTCGTCTTTTATTTTCTGTTCTCAACTCACTCGCTTCTGGCGTGCGTCGACTGGCTGTGCGCGAAATAGAATTAATTCGCGTTTTATCGGTGGAAGTCGAGCGGTAATCGAAGCGATTCGCGAGCAATAATCCAATCGCTGAATTAATCGCCGATATTTGATCTTCGCGTGCCACCGGTCGATATTCTGCTTTTACCTTCGCGTCTATCGATGATCGGAATTTTTTTACTCAGTGAGAAATGTAAAATACGTGCAGCCAAACGTCGAAAATGTAATTACGTTATTTACAGACCGTGAATTTTTATACAAATCAATTAGAAAAATTCGATGTAGGCAGAAACGTTTTGTGATAAGCATTCTTCAATATTGTACATATTTCGTCACATTCCATTTCTCTGTAAATACATAAAACGTTCGGTTCTCTCGGTGTACGAAAATACTTCTTAGCAATTAATTAATCATGAAGTTATCAAAGTCGAATGTGGGAGCTCGAGTCGTTTGCATTTTGGCAAGGACAAAGGACCACGAAGCATAATGCTCACTCGTGCCTCAAGTTTGACTTCGCTCTTGGAGACTGACGGTAACTTCGTCGAAGTATATACATAGCTACCGTGAACTATAGCCGATGAACTGGATCTGTCTGCGGAAAAGTTGAGGCTGTTCGATCGCTGTTTTGTGCATCGGGTCGGCTCGAAATTCTCTCCGGGTATCTCGTCTGCTAGAGAAATTCGCTGGAACGTTCTCTCTCTCACCCCTTCGCCTTTTCTTCGATTCAGAGCATCCTCCCTGCCGAGGATTTATGAGGTTTCCGTGCCTCGGGTTAATACCAGGTGTCGAGCAATATTCCCGTTCAAGCAATTTTCTTTCCTCTCCTTTAACAATGATTGGTAGCAGAAAGAAAATCCAAAAGTATTCTATAATGGTGCACTAAAAATAATAGCTTATATTCATATGAAATGGAATCGTTGGAAGGAAGTAATAACGTAATACAGCATCTACTTACACATTCTCTCTGATCTACACCAACTGAGCACAGTCGGATTTTAAAAAAAAATATCATGAAATTTTCGGATCCACGTAAGCCAGAAAGGAAAAAAGTCGTGGTTGACTTTAATATACTCGGGTACAAGGAGTTCTTTGTTGGCCCGTCGAGCCGACTTAATCTCCGGCGCATATACGCGAAACGAAATAGGAGGGAAACGAAATAAAAAGGAACACGGTTCTATCGCGAGGGTGAATCATACGCGGCGTTCCCACGGGACGACGCGATGCGGCGTACGTACAGGGTAGATATAGTTGGAATCCCTCTCTATCCTGCGGGAGAAGAGAACTTCCAGACGGGAAAACCCCACGATGTGTCGTCGCGGTGGCGATGTCGGTGCAGATATCGATCGGTCCGGGCTAGTCGCAGCTTCTCTTTAAGTCATCCGGGGCCCAGGACCACCCACGCGTCCGCCCCTGACGCGTCTCCTCCCGTTTTCACCCACGCAGCAGCAGCAGCAGCAGCCTGCAGTTTCCAGCCACCGCACCGAGGCGAGAACACCGTCTCCACTGCCTGTACTCTCTTCCCAGCTGCTGGTACCAGCCCTCTTTTCTCGCTTCGCTTCGCGCCGTCTTTGCATTTTCGCTGTCGCTGGTTCTCCTCAAGGTTCCGTCGTATCGACGAGAGACTTGTGAACCCTCTTTCTATTCAGAGCCCTCGATCTTCTCCGAGATGATTCTCACTTGCCTGAATGCTCGTCTTTTATTTTCTGTTCTCAACTCACTCGCTTCATTGTTTGTTCTTACATTTCGTTGCTAATTTTGAGCCGACTTCCATCTACTAAGATTATAGGAGCGGATCTCGCGTTTTTCCTCTAACACCAAACTCTTATCTATCTTCGGATCTCTTTGTTGATCCGTTGGGCATCTCCAGGCATGATCCGTTATTCATATCAGCCTCCCGTTCCGCCCACACGAGCAGCATCGTTTTAGCCTCCCCGCAACGCGCTTTCCGGTCTTCGGTAACAACCGAGCTCGCTTTCAGCCCGCTTTGTCCTCTTGTAGAGAGAGTATTTTCAATGTTCAAACCGAGGAACTTGACACCGTTCCCTCGGCCACGTGAATTTTCCTTCGTCCTTTGTTCACTCGACACCCTTAAACGCTTAGGATGTTTCCCTTGTTAGTCGGATTACAACTACCTTTTATCCCGTTGATACTGTGTGCGTTCCACAGTTTCAGCTTTTAGATTCTCTATACAAGAGAATCGCCACTTCCGTGTGTTTCCTTCGCTTTTGATCAAATAATCAACGTTGTTCTCTTACCTTGCATTTCAATCCGAATTTCGTTAGCTGTGAATCTGTTCAACGTCGTACGACCCACGGCCCAATTTGATCTTTTAGCAGCTGCAAATATACATGGTAGAAGGAAACTCGACAGGAATGAAGGGACACGGTCCACGAATGACTGTGATTGTTCTTTGACGATGGTCCCAAGGTTTCACCTCCCCCACCGAAGTTCTTTTCTTTGCACTCCACGTTCTCCGTCTTCGAGCCCACCTAACCCAGATTCGCGTCCTTTATATTTTCTATACGTATTCGTAGCCAGTGGACCATCTAACAAACGCTCCAACATACTTATACAAATGCTGTTGTTAGAATAGACTACAATTGCGCCCGCAGCAATTTTTCTCGGCAGACAACGACGAGAGAGATGTATTAGAATTATCATTTCAATGGTTCTAAACGAAAGATTGTAATTTCCTCACATTGAGATTGTTTATTATTTCAATGTTCAACGTTTATATGGTAATAAATATTTTTCATTGTTTTGAATAATAGAAAAATGTGAAATAGTTAGTGCACCAATAGTAAGCGTTCCCACAAGCTTTTCCTAACGTCGCGGAAAGCCGCGGGTATCGATCTCGGCCTCGTATACACGAAATCCCCTCCGCTGCTCCGGTGTGGCTCGTTCATTATACTTGTTCGATAGCGGAGTCTGGAGGAGGCTGGATATCAGCAAGGGGAGAAGAAAAGGCGAAGAAGTTGAGAAATGGGGACGGGGGTCTGCGTTCGTCGCTTGTAGATAATAACGAGAGGTCATCCGTGGGGCTATCTTCCTCAGTCGAAAGTTTTCTACAATTTAACTCTCGATATAAATAAATGAATGTGTTGGAGTTAAATAAAATTAAATTCATTCCTGAAAGCAGCTTTCTATCATCCTTATTTTATTTTCGTGTCAATAAATTAAAAGATGAAGCGCATTAAATCATTGAATTAATTAAAAAACAGAAAAAAATTAAGAAATGTTTGTCCCAATATTTTCCGAGTATTGTTACTCCTGAAATGAATCAAAATTATTTAAAAGCATCGCTTCAGTTGATCAATAAATTATTTATTGGACGTGCCTTAATATTTTCTGAAACTGTTCGATTTAACCGAGTTTGTGAAGTCTTAATACGGTGCCACCGGGTTCTTTAATTTCCTCGACGGAAACGGGACAAAAATTCATCGAGTCCGTTAGGAGTCGGTCGGATGCACGTGGTCCAGCGTGGTGCAACGACGCTCTCGGCGCTGTTAGCTGAATTTATGACCGGGCCGATATTAAAACGCGAATGTAATTTACGGGCGAAATCGCGCAGCTGCCCCGGCCGAGTCCTAGTCCTAGCGCGCCGTATCAATCGTTTCCGCGCGAGAGAGAAAATAAAGCGCGCGATTCCCACGCGAAGAACGAAAATCCCGTTCGTGGGATAACGAGGTTACCGCGCTTGTTCCCCGTAACAAGCTTCCGCCGTGGATTTTATTCGTTTTCGTTTACTGCGAAACGGCAAAAGCAATAGCCTCGATCTTCTATTTGCCTTCCATCAGATTAGTCTTTTATACATCGCTTCTGGAAGAGGTGTTTAATTAAAAATATAAATATCACATATTGCAGTTCAAAAATCTGTTAACAATTAATATTTTATTCAGAAAATACTTCGAGTACGAAAAGGGAGTCAGTATTGTTTACTGGTTATTGATTTCGTTATAACGCCTGATAAAAATAATACATTTTCATTTACTGAAATAAAAGGATAAGTTCAATTAATAATTCGCATCGTATAATTAATTCTGCACGATACGTTTCGATAAAATGATGAAACAATTTGTTGTACACGGCAGTTCTTATCGATTCACTCTGTATTTAGAGTTCGTTTATTTATAATAATTATGTATGATGAATTTGATAAATACATGAGCACCGCTGAACTGTGCGTTGTATGGGAACAGTGAAGGGAGGGTAGATGGGTCGATATCGATTTTCTGGCGGAAAACCGGGCTCGCGTGCGCGAACGAATCTAATTTCCATGCGAGACGGCTCTGACCGTGTTTGTCCTATTATGTTTGCGAATTATCTGTCGTGATAGCGTCACTGACGATTTTCGACTGGTCTGCGTATCGCGAGCTCCTCTTCGGGTTATCTCCTTTTTTCCTGGTAAACGCGTTTTATCAGCGGGCTCTTTTTTACAATCTCCGATTAAGTCGATCGCGAACGGATAAACACTCCGGACCTCTTCCTGCACCTTTTTAACTAATGTTGTTTATGTTTCTGTTTCAGGTAAGTGTCCAACGTAGTCTCTGCTGGTGTTGCACGATGTACCGTGAGTCACGCTATTCCTATTAAATCGGTTGAAAAGTATTTTATAATTCGTAAGCTTGCGGCCACTGTGTAAAGGAATTAGGGTCATTCAGATACGGTAAATGAATTGGAACATATTTTCATGAATGAAATTAGTTAACACTTTCCGACCTGAATCCTTTATCAGCTGAAATCAAATTCTTTTCTTCATACAATCACGACTGTGCAAAGAATTTTATAGAAATGTTCACACACTAATACAATGTTAAAGGAGTTAATGATTCTATTTGGGTTGGAAATAGCTGAAGTTAACGATGCGATCAAACAGGGTACGTTTTTAAATTTGATTTACGGGACAGTGGCTTACGAC